CGCACGGCGGCGTCAGGATGCGGGGCCGTGGCATCGGGAACATTCACTTGACGACTGTGTCTGAAAGGCCCGGCTCTCGTCACCGGTTGAGACAGCACCTGAAGCGTGCGTTTTTACATGAACCGATGCGAGTGACGCGGCTGGTACAGCCTCCCGGGGAGCTCGACAGCTCCTGGATTGTTCCGCCGGCGCCTCGGAAAAGCGTTCCCCGTGCTGCTCTCCTGCTCGTGAAAGATAAGGAGGGCTTTCATTTCTCTTTCCGTCTCGCAGACTCATTTCGGGGCTTGGAGACCGGAGATAACGCGCATGCATTGCCCCCCCTCAAGGGCAAGTGCTGAGAACGGAAAGCAGACCTGCCCCGTGGTCCTGGCAGGAAGCGGGGCTGTCCTGGGCCAGAAGCGGAGGAAGGGAAGGAGAAAGCCTCAGGGAACAGCAGGGGGAAGAGACATCTACACGCGCTCAATACAACGCACCGTCCTCCAACCTCCAACTCAACCACGTGGGAATGTGAGGAGGAAGAAATAGCGCCCTTGCTGGCTGGGCGCAGTGTCCGGCCGACTGCCTGTCCGGGATCCAACGTACCCGGAGCTCTTGTCCCCCAGTTCCCCAGGAAGTCACTATTATTGTCCTCGCAAAGTCACAGGGAGCAGGCCCAGGCTCAGAGGGGCGCGGTGGGGTGCCCACGGCAGCAGAGGACACAGCGTCAGGCACGCTCACCCTGGCGGACAGCGCACTGCCCTGTCCCGGCTTAGCGGGCGACATGCTAGACAAGAGCAACAGCCTCATGAGCTGGAAGGACGCCAGTCCCCAGTCCTTCTCGGAGGAAACTCCTGTCCGGACTGCCCAGCCCGGGCTGGAAGAGGAAGGGTGGGGAGGAGGAGCAGGTGGGATCCCAGGAGACCCGAGGGGGCAGGGAGCAGAGGAAACGGGAGGGAAGGGGGACCTTGAACGTCAACCACAATATAGCATCGTTTCAGAAGGTGGGGTGCAATGCACATGGGTCCTCTGACTCTACACGCATGTGCGGGCGTAGCCAGGAGGCAGGTCCCGGTCGGCAGGGGCCGGGGGGCTCCACCTGGGGGCACAAGGCGCTGCCAAAGGCAGCCCCTCTGTGGACCTGAAGCTCCGCGACAACTTGAACAGCAAACAGGGTTTCCTTGAAGAGACAACGACGTGCAGCCGTTTTCTTCTAAATCCCAGCAAATGTGTTCATGCAAAAGGAAGTCGGAAGCAGGGAACAAAGAGGCAGAGAGAGATGGAGAGATTGGGTGGGGACGGGGAGAAGCTGGGGTGTGACGGGAGACATCCTGCCGCTTAGGGAGCCGCACCCCAGAGCCCCGTGTGGCTGCTCACCAGCTGCTGAATTACTAGTAAAACCAGCCTTTGTTGTTGCGAGGTGCCAGCTCTAAGGGAGAGTATTGTCTCTAATACACACACTGTCTAGCCATCGTGTGTGTGTGTGTGTGTGTGTGTGACTGTACCGGCCCCGGACTCCTGTGGCCCCCAGTTCCCTCAACGCCATCACGCCTGTCACCAGGAGCTGGATGAGACGGACCCAGGACTAGCAGACACAGATGCTGAGTCGCCACCCGCCCGCCCGCCCGCCCGAGGCTGTGCGGGAAGGAGGGGCCAGGCCGGCCTACACTCACACCCTTTCACTTTGGGTTAGAAGCGAATCGCAGGGAAGCGGTGCAATGTGCCCGTTCCCGCTGGCAGCCGGCAGATGGCTTATCCAGGGGACGGGCTGAAATTCACGGGGTGACACCGTCGAGGAAGAAATGAAAGCAGCCGATCCGGGGAAACTATTAGAGGTGCCCAGGCCGCCAGCGCACGGGGGCAGTGACAGCCGCCCAGGGGCGTGGGGTTAAGCTGGGAATGGAGTGCTGACACTGCAACCCCATGAGCCCATGAGCATGGGGAGCAGGGCAGCGTCCACACCCAGCAGCCCCTGGCACGTGGGGACAGCGGCGCCCGGGCCTCATCCGTTTCAGGGGTGCCTCGCGCTCTCCTCTTCAGCCAGCTGGTCCAGTCTGACATCTCAGAGCAAACCCCAAGGGACTGAGATACGCATAGCCTAGCTCCCCTTCATCATCTCCCCGGATACTGGGAAAACACGCTTTATATTTCTTAATTGATTTTTTTAAAGAGAGATGGAAACATCGATGAGAAAAAATCACTAATGGGCTGCCTCCTGCATGTGCCCTCTTGGTGATTGAGCAGCAACCCAGGCCTGTGCCCCGACCAGGAATGGTTCATAGGTCGGTGCTCAACCACTGAGCCACACAGGCCGGGCTGTGCAGTTAATTCTTTTTTAAAAAAAATATATATTTTATTGATTTTTTACAGAGAGGAAGGGAGAGGGATAGAGAGCTAGAAACATCAATGAGAGAGAAACATCGATCAGCTGCCTCCTGCACACCCCCTACTGGGGATGTGCCCGCAACCAAGGTACATGCCCTTGACCGGAATCAAACCTGGGACCTTTCAGTCCACAGGCCGACGCTCTATCCACTGAGCAAAACCGGTTACTAATTCTTGAAAACTTAACACTGACATACTTCTCCTTCACTGTACTGTATTCTGGGTGTGCACTCGTGGGTAGAGAACCGCGGTGCCCGCACTGTCCGCCCTCACTCACGAAAACAAAGAAATTCTGAGTCGGCTGGGCTCCTATGAAAGCAACACGCACCAGCATCCGACTGTGTGAAAGGAAAGAAACCGGCACAAAGCCAGGGGCAGGCAGGGGTCAGCTGCCGCGAGTGCGTCCCCACCCCGGGAGGGGTCACCACTCAGACGCGTCCCCACACGGGAGGGGTCACCGCACGGGAGGGGTCACCACTCAGGGCCACTCGCTTCCCGGGAAGATGCCGCCGCAGCTGCAGAAGAGATGGGGACCTAGGCCCACGGCAGCCCTGGCCGGGGTGTGGCGAATGGAGTGAGTGCGCCTCACAAAGAAGAAACAGACCAGACAGAGACAGACTCAGGGACACGGAGAACAGATGGGGGTCGCCAGGCGGGGAGGAGACGGAAAGGCTGGAAAAGGTGGGCGAGAATAGGACAGACTCCCCGTTATGCACACATCCGTCCGGGATGGAATTCACACACAGCCCCGGGAACAGAGCCAGGGCTGTGATAGCTCTGCAGGGTGATGGGGGGCTGCCAGGCATATCAGGGTGATCACAGTGCAAGCTCTATAAGTGCCGAGTCACTAGGAGGCACGCCTGAATGTCACATATGATTGCACGTCAACTGCACTTCAATAAGGAAGCTTGAGAAGGAAACACAGCCCTGTCTCTCCCACCCCCGATTCCCGAGTCAGACGACTGCACCCCCACACCGCACCCCCAGGCCCCCACAGCGAGAATCAGACCCGTGGTGCAGCACCCTGAGCCCTAGTGGGCAGTCACCCAGGCCTCTGCTCCCTCCAGCTCAGAGCGAATCGCTGCCTCTGTCTCAGAGCTTATGATCTAAAAACCAAACTCAACTAAAATCCTGGAAGCCACAGCCCTTAGCTTCTGTGAAATCGCTCCGCGTCTGAGCCCCACGTGCCCTCTGGGCCACCCCCAGCAAACCAGGGGACATGAGCCTCACATGTTGGGTGTCCGTCCAATGGACATGAGCCTCACACGTGGGGCTGCCGTCCAGTGGACATGAGCCTCACATGTCTGGGTGCCCATCAGTGGACATGAGCCTCACATGTTGGGTGCCCATCAGATGGACATGAGCCTCACACGTGGGGCTGCCCATCCAGTGGACATGAGCCTCACATGTGGGGCTGCCCGTCCAGTGGACATGAGCCTCACATGTGGGGTGCCTGTCCAATGGACATGAGCTTCACATGTGGGGTGCCCGTCCAGTGGACATGAGCCTCACATGTGGGGGTGCCCGTCCAGGTCCCCATCTTTCCCTGGAGTAATGCTCCATGTCTGTGCACAGCACGCTCACGTCCTCATGCCTGACCCTGGCCTGCGGGCCGCTGCCCGTCCTTCCATGAACAGCTGCGCTGCCCCCGGCACAGGGCCTCCGGGCAAAGCTCTGAGCACATCCTACAGACACGACCTCCTTCCAGGCAGCGATGTCCGTGTGCTGTGCTCATGCGTCTCGCCCAGCATCCCCAGGCGACCGTGACTTAGTGAGCGAACCTCAGGGACTTGGCCCGGACCCCGAGTGTCTGTGACACGCCCATCATAGGCGCTGCTCTTCAGAAACCGCAGGTGGGACAACCCCAACCATGAACTAGAATGCAAAGGCAACTGCGAGGCGTCAGGGAAAGGCATGATGGGAAATCCAACTTTCGCAAAAACCATGTGTTTCCGCAGAAGGCCAAGGTGAGCTACCAGCTACACAGCAGCTAAAATCAGGACTTATTGAAGCCTAGAGGCCTGGGGCACGAATCCTTGCAAGAGTAGTCCTTCCATCCCCGGCTGCCGGCACCGGCTTCCCTCCGGCACCCGGGACCCGGGCTTCCCTTGCAGCCCTGGCTTCATCCGGAAGGTCATCTGGAAGGATGTCTGGTCTAATTAGCATATTATGCTTTTATTAGTAATACATGACTACCCTGAGCGTTCAGCCCCAGGTTCGTGGAAACCCGTCCCCCACTTCCAGGTACAGCCGCCCTCATGTCAGCAGCACCAGGCAGCTCTCCCTCAGCCGCGCTGCTCGGCTGGGAGTGGAGAGTGGGTGCTCGGAGCCCCCTCGCGCGCTCACTCACCGTGGCCCACGGGCAGGGCGATGCGCCAGCTGCAGTGCAGGTTGCTGGGGTAGGCGCCGGGGAAGCCGGGGCTCAGGATCACGCCGGCCAGGCTGCTCAGCGTGCCCCCGCACGTCGCTGCCGGAGGGAGCACAGGTTACATGTGAGTTTCTTCCCGAGGACGATGATTTCTCAAAACACAGATTTCCGAGAGCCCGGAAGTCACTGTCATCTCTGTGTGAGTCCCAGTCCTGACCCCCCAGCCGGGATCATGGGGAGCAACGCGCTGAAACCGCAGGAGACCTTCCCGTCCGTCACCGCCAGCTCTCGGGCCCCTGGGCCGTCGCTAAGGACCACCTTTCCCTGTGCCTGCTGAGGGGCGCGGAGCCAGCAGGTGTGAGGGGGACCGTGCACCTTCCATCCGTGCTCACACCGAGGCACGTTAAGGAAAAGATACAAACCGCCTACACTTGGTCGGTACAGGGCAACGACTCAAACGAGACATTTCCTCCGGGAATGCACACGCCAGCGATGGCACAGGGTTTGACTGCACACCCTTTGCGAGTGAATTTCAGCTCAAGGTTTAAAATATCAAATTCCCAGTTTAAGGGAAAGTTGTTCATTTGAAACGAATAGGAAGAGCGATGAGAGTGAGAGGAAGCGTGGAGGGAGCAGGCGTCCCCGAGGTCCCACCCTCATCCCCGTGTCCAGATCGAGCCGGGAGTTTAAATCCCACACGGATACCTCCACATGTTTACGGGCCCTGGAGTCTAGACATTTATTTTCACCCAGGAGTCACTTTCCCTCAGAAAGCCTTGGTCACTAAGGACCACTGTTCCCTTGGCAACAGATGCGATGCCGTGAGCACAGCCCGCAGGCGTGCTGCTGGGCGGACTCCTGACGGCAGGAGTTTGTTGTTTAAGTGGTTGGGCTCAGGTCTATTTTCTTCTGCGCACACTCCGTCCGCTTCCTGGTCAGGGCAGTCACGCTGTGTGTGACAGAAACCCTTAGAAGCCAGGGTGCGCGGGAGGGGAGCCAGGCTCAGGCAGGGGTGCTCCGCGGCCGCGCCCTCCGAGGCCACACACCTCCCGTGGCATCTCGGGGACACTCTCAGGGGGGCACAGTGGCCTTCACATTGCCCGCATTTGTCCGTGAGAGTGGACCCCACTCTCCTGGGCCCGCCCCCGTGATGAGGGTGTTTGCGGGGGCCGGACTGAGGCTGGAGGCTTCTGAGTGTGTCCCACACGGTGCCCAGCGTCTGAGCCTGGGGAGGGGCTCCGAGAGGGGGCCGAGTGACTATGCTCACCACCCACGCTCTCTGATGGGCAGTCGCTGCCGGTCATTCGCGAATCGAAATGACTGAGGGCCTACTGTGTGCCACAGCGCCGTGCTGTGGGACGGGGACAGGGCTCTGTCTCTGAGATCCTCGGGAGCATGGAGAGGAATTCAACCCCACAACGTCACGTGGCTCCTCCACGCGAGGAAGTCAGACCCGTGGAGGAGAGAGCTCCCCGGTGGCACTGTGCTCGCCTGCAGGAGGGACCCGCTGGCTGAGGCTGTGGCTGTGGCCAGGCACCCTTCCTTCCCTGTGAACTTGAGGAGGGTGCCTGCCCTCGCTGACATGTCAGTGCCATCTTTGGAAAAATCAAAAGTGATGCAAAAAAAGATAAACATAATGGACACTTTTAAAAAGGATAGGTTCACCCGGACAGCGTGGCTCAGTGGTTGAGCATCGACCTATGAACCATGAGGTCGTGGTTCGATTCCCGGTCAGGGCACATGCCCGGGTTGCGGGCTCGATCCCCAGTGGGGGGTGTGCAGGAGGCAGCCGATGAATGTTTTT